AAGTTGTGTGAGTTATTTATACATTCCAGATATAAGTCCTTAGTCAGATGCATATTTTCTGAAATTTTTTTTAAGTTTGTGACTTCCCTATTCTTATTCATAATGGTGTCATTTGATAAGCAGTTTTTACTTTTGATAAAGTATAACTTGGAGATTTTTTTTTTACTTTATCATTTCTTTTAAATGCCTTAAGAAATGTTTGCTTATCCCTAATTACAAATATATGCTTTAATATTTTTCTCCACACACTTTATGATTTTGGCTTTTATGTTTAAATCCATAACACATCTCTCAAAAATCTTTGTGTATTTAATAAGGTAGAAAGTTTGTTTTCTTATTATTGATATCAGTTATTCCAAAACTGTTGATGGAAAAGACTGTTGTTCCCCAATGGATTGATCTGGCTCCTTGATAAAATACCAAATGACTGTAAAAGTGTGGCTCTTTTTTTGAGCTTTCCATTCTGCTCCATGATCTTCTTGCCAATCTGCTCACCACTGTGTACACTGTCTTCACATGGTGAATTTAGAGGAAGTTTTGATATCAAGCAGTATAAGTCATTCAACTTTTTTACCCTTTTTTCAAAATTCCTTCAGGTATCCTAGGTTCTTTGCATTTTGTGTAAATTCAAAAATTGCTTGTCAGTTTCTACTAAAATTCCTGCTTGTAATATAATTGATATTCTATTGAATAGTTAGAGACATTTTGTAGAGAATTGTCATTTTAAAAATAGTTTTCTAAGCCATAAATAAGGTATATTTCTCCATATACTTAAGTGTCAGTTAACTTCTTTTGGCAATAGTTTATAATTTAAAAAATTTTTTTAATAATTTAATATACTTTTATAAAGATGGGGTTTCACCATGTTGGCCAGGCTGGTTTTGAACTCCTGACCTCAGGTGATCCACCCACCTCAGCCTCCCAAAGTGCTGGGATTACAGGTGTGAGCCATTGTGCCTGGCAATAGTTTATAGTTTTTAATGGAGAATTCTGGTGTATTTTACATTTTATTTAAAAAATTACATATTTTATAGATTCTATCATAATTTGAATTTTTAGACATATTTTTTAAGTTTTATTGTCAGCATATAAATATACAATTGTGTTTTTTGGTACGTCATCTTTATACACTGGGACTGTTGGAAGAACTAGTCTACCATGGGCCCTGAAGATCCCTGCACGTTTTGCTGAAATGTACGAAGAATACAAGACTCTGACCATTACCTCAGCCTTTTCTTAGCATTACATCTGCAGCGAGGAGATGTGAAGGACCCTATCCCCATGCAAAGGGTAGTCCTGCTCTGTGTTCCTTCCCTGTGATCCAACACACTGTGTGTGCTGGTGACTCCTAGTTATCTTTGTGTTGTTCTGTGGCTCCTGAGGAAACCGTGGTACTCTGGGTACAGCTATTGTCACGAGTAATAAATTCTTCGTCTGTGACCTGAGTATTGGGCCTTCTGCCAAAAAGAAAAAGTGACAGGCTAACTTGTTAGCATGTAAGTAGAATAAGATTCAAGACCCTTCACAGTTCTTGGCAACTCCATTGCTGAACTCCCTTATTAATTGTAACAGTTGTTTTTTAGATTCCTTGGAACTTCCTGTATAAACAGTCATGCCACCTGATAGTTTATTTTTTCACATTTATTATTTAAAATTGACAGACAAAATTGTGTGTATTTATTTTACGTAACATGATCAAAACAAGTGTTAATGAGAATGTAGAGAAAAGGAAATTCTAATAAATATTTAATTCTTCCTTTCAAATCTTTAAGATTTTATTTTATTGTGATATCGATATTCAATAGAAAAGTAAAAATATTCAATAGAAAAGTAAAAAGCCTTTGCTTTTTTCCCAGTCCTAGATAAAAATCATCTAATACTTAGCTACTAAATATGATGCCAGAAGTAGGTTTTTTGAACACGCCCATTACTAGGTGTTTCCTTCTCTTCCTAGTTTGGTGACAGTTTTGACCATGAATAGTGACAGAATTTAGTAAATTGTCTAAAACTCTTATAATTATCATACATTCTTTCTCATTTATTCTATAAATATAATGGATCATGTTTGAATAAATTTGTATTCTTGGAATAAGCCTTGCCTATTACAGTTATTGTTTTTTTTTCTTTTAAACTTTTCCACTGTATATTGTTCATAACTAGCCACCACGGCCATACATGAAAAGATGTCAAACTATTGTCTAATGTAAATCTGACTCTGGCTCAGGATGGCAGCATTATACCATGGTTTAAAATTTGGGCATTAAAGTTAGGCTATATAGTTTCAAAAATGCATCTAGCATTTAGTAATATTCATTTTCACCCTTCAAGAAGTTATTTAATCAGCCTTAGTTTAATCATCTCTGAAATTGTTATTGGAAACAATAGCAGTATTATTGTCATACAGCTGTAAGAATCAAGTAGGAAAATATTAATAAATAGCTGATAAATGAGAGCTTATCATTATTTGAGCAACGTGTATTAAACATCTGACCTGATTGTTACAACTGGAACAATCAGGTCACGTCAGGTATCTTAGTACATGAAATAATTACTATCTTATTACCTAAATTAACTGATTGTTTAATAAAACACGATGAGTTAGAAATTCTTGATTCAGTGACTGTAAAGTTTTAGCTTGATATTATATAATATTAAAATCTTGGTAGTTTACTTTTAAAAAGTGACAAACTAGCATTTTTACATTTTTCACCAGACCTTCTCTTTACCAGAAAGAAGGCAAGAACCTGGGAAAACATTCCTCTGTCTTTTCATAGTTGTAGAGGAAATATGAGAAGAAAAACCTGGTTAAAGTAGAACATCTCAAGGGTAGAGAACGCAAGCTCAAAATAATAAGTCTGACCCAAAGACAGACTAGAAAGGGGGAAAAAGTAATGTCTGGTGCTAGAAAGTAGAAGAGAATTGAGCTTGGGAATATGCCCCCTCCCTTTGCTCTTCCTTCTGGTACACTGAAGATAGGCCTTTTCCTGCAGTTTATTTCTTAGGATACTTTTGTCGGGAACCTTTGAAGTAAATGCAGGTTCAAACTGGCTCTCAGAGAAATAGAAATGATCAATAAAATTGTGACATGATTTCCAACCTAACTGATAACCCATGGGATATGAATTAAAATAGCCATTCAATAACTTGGAAGGGTATTTGTCAGAAGGCAATAATTTTAAAGTGCATTGTGTTTGATTTGTTATTTTAAACCAAAGAATAGCTCTCTTAACATTCTATGACATAAATGATTTGGATTCCTTACATTTAAACTACTTGAAAATAAAATCACACCAATAAAAACACCATTGTATCAGTAATCTTGAGATACTGTTTGGGTCTGATATAAAGTTACCTGAGGATCTTTTTCTTATCTTACATCATCATTTTAAAGAAAAACTGTTATTCAATACAGTTAGCATTTTTCATAAAGATATTATGAAGTAGATAAAGGTTTGACAATTTTATGCTTAAGAAAAATATTTCCAAAACACAAAGTACTTTGGAAAAGAATAGCATGTGAAAAAAAAATCTCAAATTTATCTTTTTACTCTATGCCTAATTTTCCATGCTTGTTTCTTTACTCATTTGTAAAATACTAACTGCCTCTAGGTAAAATTTAATAGCTTTTGAATAGTAAAAACCAAATCAACTTAGAACTTAGCTTGAGTTATGAAAGGTATATATAGTTGGTTTTGAGGAGGAAAGGAAAGACTCATAGACAAAACACGATTTGCTCCCTGGAAATTAGGCTAAAGCAATGGGAACAACATCAGATCTCAGCATGATATTGAGTGCAATGAATAGTTGAAAAGTAGCTTGAGGCTTAAAAAATAATCTTTTACAGCTTCCCTGCTTTCATGTTGGTGTTTTGGTTCATTACTTTGAAAATAAAGATACAAAGACCTAGAGAGTTAGATCATAATTAGAAAAGAGTCACTTGTTTTTAGGGAAATTTGTTAGGAGAAAGAAATCTTTTTCTCACAATAATCCCGCAATTTAATTCAGATGCTCCATATCCAAATTGGATGGATGCTGTGGGAAATCAGGCAGTTTGTAAGTGAGAATCTATCCACCTGGAACTAGCAAACCAAAGCAAGCATTAGGCTGTGATCTACAATTTAGGCATTGTTAAATTTCCTAAGAGATACGTAATACTGTGACCTGAAAATTCCAGGGAAGCACAGTGGTAGCTGTTGTATTTTAGGGCCAGCTTCAGAATCACATAGTTCATAAGAGACTGGTCATAGATTTTATGGCTAAACATTGTCTTTAGCATGGATATTTCTCTTCAAATTTTGTTTGAATAAAATATTACCTAATTTTTTATATTATATAATCTTAGTCAACACCTGAAATAAACTTTTAAAACTGAAAATTAAAGTCCAGAAATTATCCTTAGCATGAATACAATTCTCAGATATTCATGGGATTGGAAAAAATTCACTCTAAGTTGTATTCTGTCAAGCAAATGTTGGGAGCCTAAAACAATCATTTTCCAAATAGTTTTATAACTATTTAGGTTCTAATTATATTAAGCTGTGACTTCAAAATACGAGTGACAGGAAAAGAGATTAAAATGAAATAAATACCCACTATTTATGGGTTATAGTGAAAAACACTTTTAAAATGCTAGTTTATTTCATTCTTCAAGATAAACTTGCATTTTTTCCTTTTCTTCATTTGAGAAATGAGAAAAAAAATATTTGTAAGCAAGTAAGTAGCCCCAGATCATACTTACAGAGTGCATGTGCTTTGCAGTGGGACTTGAAGAGTGACATGCAAAATCTACTTTTCACTAATATCTCTATCAGATCATTTTATTTTTGACTCGAAGTATGCCTTGCTTAGACAAGGCCAGTGTTTAATTACCAGAAATGCATTTTCTATTCTGCCTTTTTCAAAACCTTGCTTGAAAATTTTCCTTAGAAAGTATACCTGATTACAATAAGGGGGAAAAAGATATATATATATATATATCTTTTTATATATAATCATGTCTTTGATGACATGATTAACCTCTTAGAGCGTTTAAAGCATGATATGTTGACCCGTCAAGTAGACCATGTGTTTAGAGATGTTAAAGATGCTGCCAAATTGTATAAAAAGGAAAGGTGGTTGTCCTTGCCGTCTCAGTCAGAGCAGGCAGTCATGTCCCTGTCCAGTTCAGCCTGCCCGTTACTGCTGACGCTACGAGACCATTTACTGCAGCTGGAGCAGCAGCTCTGTTTCTCCTTATTTAAAATGTTTTGGCAAATGCTTGTCGAGAAGCTGGATGTATACATCTACCAAGAAATAATTCTTACTAATCACTTCAATGAAGGAGGAGCAGCTCAGCTGCAGTTTGATATGACTTGGAATCTTTTCCCTTTGTTTTCTCACTATTGCAACAGACCTGAAAATTATTTTAAACATATAAAAGAAGCCTGTATTGTTTTGATTTTGAACGTCGGTTCTGCACTACTCCTGAAAGAAGTCCTGCAGTCAGCTTCAGGGCAACGTCCTGCCACAGCAGCATTAAATGAAGTTGGAATATACAAACTGGCTCAACAAGATGTTGAGATTCTACTTAATTTGAGGACCAATTGGCCTAATACTGGAAAATAATGTCTTTCAGAAAAAGGTTTTTTTTTTTGCTTTTTAAGAATCCGCCAGTTTGATTTCTAGTTAAATGATGAATGATGAAATTCTGAATTAATGAAACTGGAAAACTTTATAGAAAAAAAAAATATATATATATATATAAAATACATATATTTTATATATATATATAAATACAAATATATATATAAAATATATATATAAAATATATATTTTATATATATATATATTTTATATATATAAAAATATATATATAAAATACAAACTAACCAGTTATCTGTGTACTTGGAATTATGTATTGTGAGTGTTATAAACTATGTTATTTAGTACAGTGAATTGTACTGCTGTCTGAATTAGTTCACAGCATTAGGACAGAGACCATAAATTAGTATAATTCTTTCCCCTTGATTCTTTCCCATTCACACCCTCCATACTGTGTTCACATTGAGAAAATAATGGTGAAGCCATAAAATATTTAAACATTTTCCCTGGCTTGAAATGCACACAGAAGCTAGCTATTAAAATGGTGTAAAGATTATTTAAATACCCACCTATAGCCAAATGCTTCCTTTGTAAAATATATTGCTTAAACCTCTCGAGGGTTAAGATGTCTATAAAAATTCATGCAGACATGACACTATTATGTAGTATAGATTCAGGGAAGATAAAAATGAAGAGGATGAAGGACAAAGGGAAGAAGAGGCAGAAGCAGTAGCAAAGGAAATTCAAACCTGTGAAATTGTATTTAAAGCCAACTACAGTGACAGTTGGTGATTACAAGACAAGTGACATTTCACTTTCAATGAAGACAGCATTTTACCACTGAAACTCTTCAGTTCTAACTCTACTCTGAGGATAAAATAGAAGAAAGGAACTTTGGTTTAAATCTAGATTTGGTACTTACTTGCTGTGTGACTTTCCTTATGTTACATAACCTCCCAGAGCTGCAGGTTGGTTGTTCTGTTTTTCCCCATATAAATTGAGGAGGATATAGGTTACTTCACAGATGTTCTGTGGCAATTAAATGAGAGAACATATGTAAAACACATAACAAATCCATGAGCATTAATATTTATTTGTTCCAATAAAAGTTTTAAATAGATTTCCGGATCAGGCAGAAATTGCCCTAGTTTGTCTTCTTTGAAAACATGGACCACTGTTTCGTGTTTACTGTTAGTATTTTTTAAACACTGGAACAGTTTTCCCCTGGATTATTTTCAAACCAGGATCAGATTTTCTTGCAGATTCATGGAGAAAAAAACATAAACAAAAATACATTTGGAATGTGTGCCAGCCAACTTTTTAAACTCTATCAGTGTGAACATAGTCTACAAGTTATATCCTTTCTTCTAACTTTGTTTATCTAACTGAAATAAGATTTTGGGCTTCTCCCTTTTTAATGAAGTGAGAGTATCAGATCAAGCTCTCTGATATATATATATATATATATATATATATATATATATATATATACACACACACACACACACATAAATGTATACACACATATAGAATATATATTATATATAATATATATAAATATAATATATATAAATATAATATATATTATATATATTATTTATAATATATATAATATATTATATAATATAAATATAATATATAATTATATATATATTATATATATATATAAAATCAGAGAGTTCTAAGAAACTTATCTGAAGAAAGAAAGGCTTCCTAGTTTGCAGTCTCACCAGGATCCCAAATATCTACGTAATTCTTGTTTACTTACATTAACGGTTTTCTTAATGTCTGATGCAGCAGTATCTTAAGTATTTCCTAAAAATTCCCACACCAGGCAGGCTTTGAAACATTGCATTGAGTAGGGCAGGGGTAGCATGCCACAATCAATGACTTCAAGCAGAAAAGTACTCTTAACTGACACAGCCACTTTAGTAATTAAATTGTTGGAGCCTTATTACATTTAACTTTGGCATTCCGATGAGACAGAACAAACTTGATACATCCCCTTTCATTTAGAATTTGATAAGTAGACTAAGACATAGTTTCTAAAAAACAAATTATTAGAGTAGCTATAAATTTGAAAATAATCTCACTGTATTAAAATTTTCCTGAATTAATTATTAACTTGCAAGTGCTTCATGAAATCATAAAAATATATTTTAAAAATGATTGCTTAGTCTTTTTTATTCCCTTTTAATTGTGCAAATTATTCAGGCTTTCCTGGATGGCTGTGATTTAATGTTTCAAAATGGCACAACACAGCATGACTATTTATCTAAGAGTTTCAAGTAATCATTGATATTCAATCCATTACCCTGAATTTGGGAGTTCTTCCATATAAGTTGCATAAAAAATAAGATTATCCTTGAATCTCATCATGGAGACTTAATTAGAAAGGTACAATTATAATGAAAAACTGTCATCCAAAAATCAAAACAAAATAAACTATTGTACTAAAATTAACTTGTAGAATTAGCTAATTAATACATTAAGCATTATCTGTAAATAGTGCAAAAAAAAAAAACATGGAAATATTTCAACAGTTGGAGTCTTTAGCTGAAGCTTAGTAGAAGAGAGGCAATGCCAGAAAGACTCTAGCATTAGAGCGGTGTTTCTATGTCTTTGGCTAGGTTCACTAGTTTCACAAAGACGTTGATATTAGAGACCATTTTATGTAATTTCTCTAATTTGTTTATACAAATTTTAGTTAATATGCATAGATATACATATTTAAATAATATAATAATACACAATGGTTTATATTTTAATTAATAAGTAGATTTAATTAATTTGCTGAACACAGCTTCTTAACATGCCAAGCTTGTAGCACAGTGAGAGGTTAGGGTTAACTTGTCTAAAACTAATGTCAACAAGCCGGACTCCTATAATGGGAATTGAATTTCTATAAATTTGTACGGAAGTTAGCTGTGGATGAGTGCTTAGATTATCAATCCTAGTGGTCAGCTGAGATAGACAGGTTCATAGTTGGTTAGAGTGGTAACAGCCAGCTTAATCCCTAGCCCACTCACATTACGGGGCAGGGAGCTGGTTCGTCTTCCACTGTGGACTCTGAAAAGATGAATTGTTTCTGGGTCACATAATGGTTGGATTTTTACAATGTTATTAACCATATACAGGGCCTTTACTTCCCTGATTACAAAATTCTAAACCCTATTTTTTTTGGCCTATTTTCTGAAATCCAGTTTTCAATACTGCTAGATCTTGGTCCACTATCCCAAACAATGAGAAACAACAGGATAAACAGGTACCTGCTCTTCCTTCCATGAATTGACCATACACACTAAAAAATGTCACTCTAAGGTTAAAGTTACAACTAGTTCTTATTTGCTCAATCTCCAGTCTTTCTCAGGAAGATATTTTTGTGATTGCCATGAAGTCTTGAGTGAAAGAAGTCACACAGGTGATCCTAGCATGTGATCAATATCTACATTGTTATCCATATATATCATAGCATATATATAAATATGTATCTTATATTTTTATCAGAGTAAGTATATGTCTTCTTGTAAGTATCTACAGCAGTTTACATACTACCTTTATTTGTATGAGACTATAGGTTGTACTTAGTGACTTTCATGATTCTTATTGCCTAATATTGTTAATCCACTATTTCACACAATGTCCCTTATAAAGAGGAGTTTTTGCTAAAGTGATTTCTACCTTGAGGTGGTACATATTATACTGGGAATTGATTCTCTTTACTCTTATGTGCAATACGTAAGTCCTGGGTACTGGGTCATTGGGTCAGAGCATAAAAGCACTCTTTGTTTTTTAACTCAAAATGCTACACTCAAATTTTCTCACGCAGAAAAAAAGAATAGTATTGCAAATTGTAAAATGTCCATCAGAGCTTTAGGACTTATTTTCTCATTGATGTGTCTTTATAAACATATATTATGTTTTTTTTAGATTTAAAAGTTATATATTCTCTTCCTTTGACCAGAATTGATAGGAAAAGAGAAATGGATTCTGTGCATCTCAAAAAAAAAAAAAAAAAAAAAAAAAAAAGATACCTGATGAGGAAATCAAGCCAAGGTCAAAAATTTATAAAAAGGAAAGTGGACAAAATCTAGTGAATTGTCATGGGGAGTTGGGGGAGGATGTTATTTTAAAAAGGCAAAATAATTTGGAGCAATGCTTTTTTAACTTGTTCGTATACCTTGCCTTGTGGTAAACCCTGTCATCTCACTTTTCTACTTGGACTTCAATTTTGAATCTTTACTGAACTGTGCAAACATAACCCATAGGTCAATAATGCTATCTGTTTTAGACTGGATAGAGGGAACTCTGATTATTGTATAATGTTATTAGCAATAATATTGTATATTTGTGTTGTGTTTTAGCCTTTCTAAAAGTTTAGTTTGCATTATTGTATTATCATCATCTTCAAGAAATACATTGACTATGAATTCTTACCACCTTTTAAAGGTATTTAAAATTAGCTTTAACAGTGGTAAAAGGCAGACAACCTATTGTGTCTTATTTTTCCAGTCATTAGTTATAATGGATCCAGGCTTTGAATAATATTTGTGTCTAGATGATAATTTAGTTCATAGGTCAAATGTCATTTCACAAGAATAAATGAGGTGTATGTTCCTGTGAAATAATATGAATTTGGTGAAAATGTATTTCACGAATTACAAGTTTTATAGTTTTCCATTTAGTTAAGGGAACTGATTAAATCCAGGACTACTGAGGTACATTTTAAGGGAATACTTTATTCTAATGCTTTGTCTGTTTTTATTTGCTTACAAATGGCATTTCTGACATGATAATATGGTAATCTTTTGAAAATGGAAACATGTTTAAACCCTCTACTTTGGCCATGAGATTTTATTATTTTCATAAATGTGTGGATATGGATATTTATGCATACACATACATGTAAACTCATTTTTAGTTGTATATAACAAGTACATTGGGTAAGCAATTTAGCTATTCACATTCTCATACCCTTTTTCTGCCTGCTATTTTACCACTTCTGAAAATCCTGTAATATATTAACGTAAAACATAACTCTGTCCTAAGAACTTCTCTTCTTTGCTAACTTAGTCTTAGATAATTACTTACAGTTTCTGAATGCTTGAGCTGTAAGTTCTGTTGTTCAGAAGACA